AAAAAAACTCTCCTAGTGCGAAAATGATGATCAACAGGAAATCCTAGTACGTAGTACTCATAATTTAGGTGGCAGGTAACGTAGTAGTATCATCGTACCACCACGTTACCTGAACCTACATTTTCATAATAAATTTCGGTAGCAATTTGATATTGAAACGCCAAGCTACCGCATTGGTCTCATGTAGTTTTTAATTACAGCTGAAAAGAAGATTAAAAAAAAACAAAAGAGTAAAAGAAAATTCAAATCAATGGCCAAGTGACACGAGACGCAATTGCAGCTAAGTACAACATTGCAGATTTTCATCTCTCTTTTGTTTCGATGTACTGTTCAAGTACATGCCTAATCAAAAGCTGCACACTATTCATACAAATATTTTCACATAACAAAAGATAGCGGAAATTCCAAGACTGCCAGACAACGGGTAGCTGTCGGATCTCTTTCAGCACTGTAACACGAGGACACACTATCAACAGAACTTGCAAATAAAGCTTAATCTCACAAAATAGTGGAAGGGCATGTTCAGCGATAAGTAAGAATATTGCCTACACACAATATGAATTTTGATGGAGAACAAGTCTTAATGGAACGACAACAAGCCGCAGTAAAACAGCTTAAAACAGAATGAGTTCAAACAGATGTATTTCAAAACACTTCGTATTTCACAGCAAAATGGTGAGTTGCACAGCCGAAACCAATCCAAACTAGGGAATTTTGAGACTTCATTATCTACACTTTAGCGTGAAAGGGCTCGATGATTCGCTGCAACAGCTCATTCATTAAAGGTAACCGCGATAGGGTCCCGTGAAGATAATCTCGTTGCTGTATTAGACAGCGTCAAAATTATCTCCAGTACAGGGTGATGTCAAGTGTTTGTTCCATTGTGCGACAGCGATTTGGCTTTTCGGATCTCTACGCCAACATAAATGCATGCTAATAAGCTGCTTGGCGCTGTTCCTGTTGGACATCTGTTTCTTTTTTGCCGTTATATAGGGTTTGGTGTGATTGGAATCCAACGTTTATAATTTTTGTTTCAGATAGTGATATCATATGGGCAGGAGCTCGGTTTAATGGCTGTACTATTACTTTTTTTGGTTTGTTGCAATGAATTTGTTTTCAGCAAAATTCATCACTTGACTTTGAGGGTAAAACTTGATGATCTTTAAATTATACTTATTTTATTCATAATATTATATGCAATACAGTTTTTAGGGCGACGCTCGTAGAAACATAGTTTTGACAAGTTTTGGTTACGCAGAGGGAGGAACTTTTGACCTGGTTTTAGTAAACTTTACCGTTCCTGAATCAATTCTGGACAAAGTAGACTCGAGAGAAAATGCAGATAAGTCGGTATGTTAGCATATTTATGTACAGTCATTTTCTGCTCAGTTAGGTTTTTGGAGGGTGTCATCGGCTTTTCTCTATCTCGTGGGGATTCCATTGCAGCTGGTGTTGGATCGAATCCGCATGTTTGCCAACTGCAGGTAAATCTTTTGGGCTGCCGTTTCTCTACTTCTTGATTTTTTTAAGCCCTGATCTTTGTCTTGTCTTAGCGTCTTCTCGTAAGTTTCTCTATATGCGGGTCATCCGTCTTTGAGAGGTGATCTAGGAATTTCAGTGTATTGGGATAAAACTCATAAATAATTGTCGGTATTGCTTATATATCGTTATCAAATCTGCCAAGCAGCAATAAGAGGCCTTTTGTCTCTGCGTAAAGTAAGCTGTCGCTTTGGGTTTTGCGTGATAAACTATATAGTGATTTTTCAATTCAGTTGTGCCTCAGTAAACTATCATTCTGTTTTTCCTTTTGTTTTACTTAGTAGTAATTATGGTCTTTTGAAGCTGGAAAAGTAATACTTAGATGATGCAGCTCACGTTTTCTTTAGGCATAAATCATTAGTTGTAGCTGTTCTGCAAATCCTCAGTTGCGACTCAAGATTTGTGGTCGTTCTGTTTTCCGTAGTTTTCTTCCAGTTGCCACCTATTCAAAAGCTGTATTGTTTTTCTTTTTTTGTTGGATGATACCCATTTTCCAGCAAACAGATCAGGGTTTTGACGCATTGTTTTTCTTCGCCGATTTGCCTCAAAATCGTCTTCGGGTATTCCGATCAGGAGCTGGGAAACAGATACACCTTTGTTCCTCCCATGATGAGTCTGTTTTAATGTCCGCATTTTTTTCTGCTCTTTCTTTGTAACGCTACTTTCTCCTAGATGCGCTAAAGATGCCAGCCAGGATCGGTCATCTATGAGCGAGGATACCACTGCAACTACAACACTAAATGTTTGTGATTATACCTCTTATTTCCGTTTCATAGATTGCTTTTAATCTGTTTCAATTTAGGCCCGAAATCGTCGTGATGGTGAAGGTTGGTTGGACAAGTTCAAACGAATTTTTTCCGGCGGTGACTCCGGGAAACCGTATGAAGACTTTGTCCCTCTAGTGAAAAAAGACTTGCTATATTCGACGAATGTCAGTAAGATTGAAGGTTTTCTTCCTTGTGTCCGCTATTTTAATTTTCTTACTTAGATCTCTATACGTTTTCCCTACGCACTTCGCGGAAAATATCATTTCATTTATCATAACTGCTTCAACTACCGCGCTCATGGTTACAGGTACTGGCTACGCTTTTGAAATTTTGTATAATCAGGTTGTTCATTTCAAACTTCTTCATGCAATCTCGACTTTAGTGACCGTGTTGCTGTGGACTTTACTATTTGGATTGTGGAACGCAATATTGGTTCATTTCTTTCCGCTGGAGACATTCCCAAACCCCAGCTTTTTCTCTATGTGTCTCTGGCCTTTGTCCTCTCAGCGGCTCTCTGGTGTAGGCTTCTTTGCCTTTCCAGGTCAGAATGATTTTTTATAGTATTTTGCGAGCATACAGCTAAAATCATGTAAATATTAACTACAGCCGCCCTACAGCTGTAGTCTGTCCGTCAGTCATCTTCCGCCAGGGTTGTTTGGTCCTCAGCGCGTTCCCCACTGGCTTATCAGCTGTCTTTAGCCTTCATTTTCTTAGAGTAGTCATCCGCTTGCCGAGCGATCTGGTAGGATGTGATCTGTGTAATGTGATAGTCTTGTCATTCCTGTTTTGGTGTTCCAATCACATCGACCCGGATCAAAAGCCGATATCCATCCGAGTAAATGGCGAACGCTTTTCTCTCTATGATCTCTGATATTGTTTACTTCCTTTGTTTCCGCTAGTAA